CCCCCCACCTTCTCGGGACCCTGGCCCCCCACTTTCTCGGGACCCTGGCCCAGTCCCGCGGCCCCCAGGACCCTGCGCTGGCCCCCCACCTTCTCGGGACTCTGGCCCCCCACTTTGTCGGGACCCTGGCCCAGTCCCGCCCGCTCGGGACCCCCTGGGCCCCCACCTTCTCGGGACCCTGGCCCAGCCCCGCCGGCCCCCAGGACCCTCCCCTAGGTCTCCTGCCCACTCGGGACCCAGGCCCAGACCCCCGTCACCTTCTCGAGATGCAGACCCCGCTGGCCCCCAGGATCCTGGCCCAGGACCCCCACCTTCTTGGGACCCTGGCTCAGGGCCTCCACCTGCTCGGGACCCTGGTCCAGCCCCTCTGGCCCCCAGGACCCTATCCTGGTTGCCTGCCCCACCCCCTCGGACCTTGGCCACCCACCCTGCTCACCGAGACCCTGCCTCAGTCTGGCTGACCACTGACTCCTGGGCCCCAGGTCTTCAGATCTTGGTTCACTTAGACCATTTGCCTCTGGTCTAGCCGACTGCCCACCCTGGCTGGCCACTCTGGCTGGTATATCTCAGGCGCCTAAGCCTGTTGGACCCCCCCGTTCCCACCCAGGGTCACCCCACATCAGCCCGTGCCTTCTTGTGCCCCTCCCATCACCCCAGGGCACCCTCCTGGCCGAGGACCCCCCAGCTCGGCCCTGGTCGAGGGCTCCCCTCTGGCCTCCCAGCCTTGTCTGCCTCCCTGGAGGAGCCTGGGGTGTGTCCCAGGCCCCCTGGCTTTGGTGCTCCCCATCCTTCAACTGGAGGATCCCTAGAAGGTGGGGGATCCTCTCGGGGAACGCTGGGGGCATGAATGTTGGGGGTGAGTCTGTGGTTTCCTTTGCATGGTGCCCCACTGTCCCCTGCACGAATCCCCTTAGGGACCCCAGTCCTGGGCGTGGTAGGTCCCGCTGGCCGGCTCCTGGGGTCCTGTGGCCTCTGCGCCTCCCTCCCAGTTTGGACTCTGCCCTGGGGTACGATCGATGGAGGCTGGGAGATCACTGCTGACCTGGGACGGGGGACGTCCAGGCTGCAGGCGGTGTGGATTCCCCTTTGGGGTGAGTGTGCCGTTATGTCTGCGGGGTCCCCACTTGTGCCGCCCTGCACTGGAGGCTGGGGGTGGCCGGGCCAGCCTGCCCTTCTGGGAGGCGCCTGTGCGCTCCTGGGTTATTTTAGAGAAGGGCCAGGAGCGGCTGCGTCCGTCTGTCAGTCCTCAGACACTGCGTGGACAGGTCTCCCAGCTCTGGGAGCCGCCTTTCCAGGCTTGTGATTTTGTGGTAAAAACCGTTGAAAACACTGGTTGCCACACCGCTCGCAACTAGCAGGCTTTTCTGTGTGTGGTTGTTTTGGACACAACCCTGAGTGACCCAGTTTTATTTCCTCAAGGGAGCAGAACACCCCTGTCGTTGAGGCCCCCCAGGGCTGTGGCACGTGCCCTGGACCCTGGCAGAACCTGGCTTTACAGTGGAGTGTGGTTGCCTAGGGAGAGACAGTGGCTCTGGCCACACTGCTGCCCACTGTCCAGGGACCCGCTGGCCCCCAGAGTTCATATGTGTTCTGCTGGACCCCTGCTTCTCTCCTCTGCTTGTGGTTTTGTTTAAATGGGGCCGGAAGGCTTGAGAGAGGGCCTGGCTGCTCTGAGGTGGCCTGGATGTGCCATTGGTCACTGAGGGCTGGTGGTGTGGGAGCCGGGGGTCCAGCCAGCCTTGTTGCCCCTGTGGGCATACACTTCCGCAGCCCCGGGTAGGCTGAGCGCAGGAGGAAGTGGGCAGGTGTCAGGGTGCAGAGCCAACGTGTCAGCTTTCAGCGGACAAAGTCTAGGTAGGCTCCTGGCTGTTGTTTTGAATATCTGCCCCCAGGTCGTGTTCAAAGCCAAGGTTGAGAGCCAGTTTTCAGACTGAAAGGCGGAGGAGGGACAGGGGCGTCACCTGTCAGATCTTGCCCAGGAAACCAAAGCAAAGGGCAGTGATGAGATCTGACCCCAAAGTCTGGACTCCCGGGAGGCCTACAGCCTGGGGACGGTGCTGTCCTCTCCCTGCCAGGCTGGTCCACATCTTCAGCCCTGTCCTCTTGCTAGCCACAGGGTCTCTGGGTCTGCTGGGGTTTCACATGTTCAGTTGAAGCTGTCCCCAGAGCTGGGTCCTTTCCTTAGATGTGTGGGGCCAGTGCAGTGTAACAGAGGGTGGCCCTGTCCAGCCTGGCATGGACACCTTGCCTTGGCCATGGGGAGTGTCGCCTTGCTTCCAGGAAGCCGGGCCCTGGGGAAAGTGCTGAGCTGTGTACCCTGTAAGGGCCTGTGGACTCTAGGGACCTCTGCCACCCTGGCGTATCGTCTTCAGAGTGACCACACCAGCCAAGAGTGCAGGCCCTCATGGGCTCTGCCTGGTAGCTCATCACCAGGGCTGTGGGGAGGGACACTGGCCTCCTCTCCAGCTTGGCTTTGGTGTACCTGCCCCCTTTGGTGCCTGGGCAGATGCCCTGCTGCTCCTCCGGCCGGGGCTGTGTCCGACACAGCGAGCCTGGGGGTCCACCTGCCCAGCGTCCACATCTCTGACTGTGGAGTGTGATGGGAGCTGAGAGTGGCAAGCTCTGTGTCCTCCTGTCCGGCACCCCAGGTCCCCTTCCTTGGGCCTCCTTCCCGGCTTGGAGAGGATACAGGGCAGAGAGTAGCCGACACCTCCCGGTGGTGCTTCTGCCCGCGGTTGGGGGTGATGGGAGGATGTCTGGGCTGGAAAGTGGGGCCTGGGTGGCCGCCTCACACTGTGGCGTTTCATCACAAGCGCTCTGGCCCAGTGACAACGTTCCTAGTCGTTGGGGGACCGAGCCCCTGGGGATTACAGAGCTCCTGAGCAGTACTGGAGCAGTGCTGAGAGGGGGGTGCAGGCCTGACTGAGCTGTGGAGGCAGTGACAGCCACAGGTCCGAGGATGTGGCCCTGGGCCTTGGTGACCCTTGAGGGCAGCCCCATCCCTGGTGGTCAGGAAGACTGCACTGCCTGTCCTCGCTGGTCCTCAGTGTCCTGGAGGCCTGCTGCCCACCACTGCTCTTCTCAAGCCCAGGAGACAACCTGTAAGCGTCCTCTGGGGTGAGGATGGCGGGGTGAGAGTGGTTACCTGTGGTCTCCTCACCCCTGTAGCTGGGTTGCTGGTTTCCATGTTTGCCACGGTGCTGGGTTCCCATCACAGGACTGTGGGGTCCTGGGGGAAGCCCCCCACATCCCCTGGAGCAGTGTACCCACGTGCCCATCGGTTCTACCTGCCCACTAGGCTCCTAGGTCCCAGCAGGACACTGATGACCACACACTGGGCTGTGTGCCGGACACCAGTTTGATGTAGCAGCTGTATTGCGGCCGTGGCACGTCTGGCTGTGCTGTGGAGCTGGTGCTGGCTGGCCCTGGCCAGTGTGACCAGGAGCGAGGGGCTGTCTGTGTTCAGAAGCGGAGCTCTTCCTCTGTGTCCGTTTAGACAGGTGCCCATCGGAGGGCAGGCGGTGCCCGGCGGAGGGCGGTCGGTGCCCGGTGGAGGGCGGGCGATGCCCAGCGGTGGGCAGGCGGTGTGAGGTGCTCTGGGGTGGGCACAGTGGGTTCCAGTGCACCAAGTGCTCAGCAGGGGGGACTATGGTCAGTCTTAGGATTCCCAGCTCAGAAACCCGATGAGGGTCGTTCTGGGCAGAAGTGACCAGATGGCAGTGGGGCCCTCACTTAGGGGGCCCTGAAAGGCCCTGTGGCGTGGTGGATGAAGCACCAGGTGCTGACCACGGGGACAGTGTGGTGGTCTGCTCACCTAACATGACAGCCGCAGAGACCGTGGGGCAGTCTGGCATCGACCAGTGGGTTTGGCTCTGGTTTTGATCAGGCCTGGCTCTCGCCGACCTTGGCTGCATGAGCGCCGGGCTCCACAGAAGGCTGGCTGTGGCCGACCCCCCTCAGCGTGCCTGAGCTCGTCAGAGGGTCGGTACCCCCGCAGCCGGCCCCCTCTCTGCTTCAGGCCCTAATCCCCTCGACCCAGACACTCCAATTAAGACACGCAGAGTCATCAGGAGGCGGCACTACAAATTAGAGCCCAGCAGCGGGGCTGCACCCCTGTCTGGAGGCCAGGCGGCCGGCGCCGGCGGCCCCCGTTCTGGAGGGGTCAGCCCCCTCTGCACTCAGAGGCCCTTCGAGTGAAGGCAAGCCTGCGTCCCCACAGGGCGTCCTGACGTCCTGTATGAGGGTGACGTCTGAGCGTCGGACTGGGGAGCCAGTGTGGCCGTGCTGTCCCTGTTCCTCTCTGGAGCGATGTGGTGGTGACCTGCTGGCCTTGTTAGTGTGGGACAGGACTTCTCCCTGTGTGTAGATTTTAGACAGGAATGTTGAGGAAAGAGCCTGGTGAAGTCCTGGGCTACTCCCTGGCAGGTCAGGTCCAAGGACAGACAGAAGGACCTGGCGTACAGATGACAGCCTTACAAAGCCGGGTTGTCGGCTCCCCAGCGGCGGGCTCGGTGGGTTGGAGGGAACCCTGGCATCACACGCACGCGCTCTGACGGCATGTCTCCAGGCACACGGCACATGACGGGGAGAAGCCACACACTCCCCGGCTTCATGCTGACCGCGGGCCAGCTGGCCATCTCACAAGGAGTGCAGGCCGAGTGGACGTGGGGAGCTCAGGCTCATCGGGGCTCCAGCCAGGATGCGTGCTGACAGTGGACATGGCTTGCCCTCAGCGGGGAGGGGGAGCTGACCCTCAGGCTCTGTTGGAGAAGCTCGTGTGTGTTGAGAACATTGGTTCAGATCTCCCTCGAGGGAGGAAGACACGGCAATGTTCCCATAAATATGAGCCTTGGAGACCCTTGGAGCAGCTGCGCCCTGTCCAGCGGATCCCGGGAGTTGGGGCAGGTCCTGTCTCCCAGTGCGCCCCCCCACCCCCCGTGAGCCACCTGGCACTTCTGAACAACTCTCCTGTCACAGGTGAAGGTGCAGCTTCCGCAGGCCCTTTCACCCCACTGTTGTTCCGACCAGCCCTGAAGGGACAGTGTAGGTGTCCGTCCGACTGCCCTTCAGACTCTGGCCTCCTGGTGGCTCGTCACGAGGGCGGGGCCCCGACCTTTCTCCCCAGCTCCTGCCAGCTGTCTCTGCCAAGCCCCAGCCCTGGTGGCGGGTGCTGCACCTGGTAGCTCTTCTCGGCTGACGTCACGATAGCCTCTCAGGACAGGAAGTGTGGGTGCATTTCCCGCTGCCGTGTGACAGCACACGCATGTCACCGCTCAAGCCGTACCTCCTGCTTATGGAGGGCCACACCGGTGTGTGGTCAGCATGGCTGCCGAGCGAAGGTGCTCCGGGGAGAACTGTGGCCAGGCCAGCCTCGGGCGCCCTCTGGGCAGAGCTGACGGATGGCCAAGGGGTTTGTTTTCCTGGTTTAGGGCTACCTGGGCTTTCCAGGACCCCTGTCCCCACGCACCCCGGGCATGCCCTTGAGTGCTGCTGTGGTGACAGCATCACAGTTACCTAGCCAGAAGCCTGGGGTAGGGGATGACCCTCCAAGCCTGCCTGTCCTGCTGCCCTTGTCCCACTGGAGAGGCTGGCCCCAGGTGGACAGCACACAGCTCGGTCTGCGGGGTCCCTGCTTCCCCAGGTGGCTGTCGTCCACAAGCGTCTCCTCGCCGAGACCACACCCTGGTCTGGCTTGTCTGCTCAGGCCACCCTCGGCCCTGGGCTTGTCCGCTTGTGACTTGTTGGTATGTTGTCGTTAGGACTCTGTGAACAAATGATCAGAACTTCTCAGGTGGTTGTGTTGTTAGGTGCCCTTGACCCTATGAACCCAGCTCTAAAGCTCGCGCTGAGGGAGGAACAGCCCCACATCCTCAGCGAGTGGGCGGCCCCCACCCGCACTGCAGCCGCTCAGCCGTGCCTCCTGGTTACCCTGCCTCCTCTGTCGTCCGAGGTCCCCCGCCCTTGTGTGCAGCTGTGGTCCCAGGCAGCCCTCATCTGTGTCTGGCCTGCAGTGGCGCCTGATTGCTCCCCTCTGTCCCCCTGCCCTGTTGGGCTGTGGTCTCAGGGCTGGCCCACGTGCCTCCTGGTCTTTATTCCCCTCTCCACTAACCATCTGGCTTTGTCTCAGGGCCGCCCCTGCCTGTATATGGCTTATAGTGCCCCTGGTCATTGTCCCGACCCTGTCCCCCTGCCTGCCTGCGGTCTCTGGTGCCCCATCTGTGTTTGGATCATGGTGCCTTCTGGTCACTCTTCTTCCTTTGTCCCCATCTGCCCAACTGGTCTCAGAACTGCCCCTACCTGTGTCTGCCTGCTGGTCACTGCCCACCCCATCTCCATGTTCCTTGTCCATCTGGCTGTGGTCGTCTCAGGCTGTTGCTACCCGTGTCACCCATGGTGCCTGCTGGTAACTGTCCTGCCCTCTTTTCATGTCCCTTATTCACTCAGCTGTGGTCTCACGGCTGCCCGTGTCTGCCCGCAGTTCCTGCGTGTCACCAAGCAGTACCTGCCCCACGTGGCCCGCCTGTGCCTCATCAGCACCTTCCTGGAGGATGGCATTCGCATGTGGTTCCAGTGGGGCGAGCAGCGCGACTACATCGACACCACCTGGAGCTGTGGCTACCTGCTGGCCTCCTCCTTCGTCTTCCTCAACCTGCTGGGCCAGCTGAGTGAGTACCCATCCCCGCACGTGCCCGTGTCCAGTCACCCAGGCCGTAAGGCCCCAGAGCACTAGCCACCAGGTGTCAAGGGAAAGTGCTTAGGACACGGGCGGTAGAGCAGGAGCGTGAGGTCCAAGTGGGCGCTGTGGCGTCGGCCTTCCCTGCTCCTGATGGACCGACGACCTGGTGGCCCCTCCTGTCAGTCCCGGGGCTGGGCCTTCCCGTGCCCGCACGGCCATGCGGCTGCTTAGCCTCTCTGCTGGGCTGAGGCCTGTTGGTCACATCAGGGCCACTTGGTCCCTGTCTCCCATCAGTGCGGTCAGTTGGTCCCGGCCACTCCCGGCATTGCCGTTTACCGGGTGCTGGTGGCTGCAGGTGCCCCGGGGCTAGGACGGAGGCCCGGCTCGGCCGGCCTCGCTCGGCCGTGCTGCCCAGCGCCCTGACCCCCCTTCCCGTTGCAGCCGGCTGCATCCTGGTGCTGAGCAGGAACTTGGTGCAGTACGCCTGCTTCGGGCTCTTCGCGATCATCGCCCTGCAGGTCAGTAGCTCACTGCTGGGTCGAGCAAGGGCCTGTCTTCCCGCAGTCCTGCGTGCCTGCCCACCCGGCGGCCTGACGGCTGGCAGACAGGCGGATGGTCCCCGACAGGCCCTGGGCGCAGGGCTGGCAGCTCTTCTGCTGGTCCTTTGAGGAGCGGTGGGACCCTGTTCTGTTGCACACTGCTTCCGGGGAGTGTGCCACTCGGTCAGGCGGGAATGCCCCCCTGCAGTGGTCTCCAGAGTGCAGTGGGCACTGCCTCGGGGCCGCAGGCCGCACTCTGTGACACGCCGAGGGGGCGTTAGGGAGCTGGCATGTGTGCACGGGCATGTCCACTCCCACTAGGACGCGTGCGGGGGTCTGGAGAGCTCCCGGAAGGAACGTCAGCCCTCTGTCTCTCTCCCCACAGACAATCGCCTACAGTATCCTGTGGGACTTGAAGTTCCTGATGAGGTGGGTGCCCTGGGGGTCAGCTCCAGTCTTCTCTCCTCAGGGCTGCGTGTGGCAGACACGCTCTTGTGGTTACCGGGAGAGTCCTTGCCACCGCACCTACCTCCGAGTTAGCCTGAGAAATCCCGTATCTCCAGCAGCCCCCTCGGTGCATGGACCTCCCTGGCTGAGCCTGCGCATTTGCCCTCCGTGGCTGGTGGGTTCAAGCTCCGAGCCTTTTATTTAGCAAGAGTCTAACCTGGCGCCACCAGCCCCTGAGTACTCAGTGCCCACTCAGCACCCGGAGTTGAGTCCAGCTCCCCGCAGCCCTCCACCACGTCCCGAGGCTGCCTGCCTTGCTCCCCGGAGCCACGGGCAGGCCACCCCCGCGGGGCTCCTTCAGACCCACAGTGAGGCCGGCTGGTGGAGGGGTCAGCGGACACTGTCTGTCCTAGGAACCTGGCCCTGGGTGGAGGCCTGCTGCTGCTCCTGGCGGAGTCGCGGTCGGAAGGGAAGAGCATGTTTGCGGGCGTGCCCACCGTGCGGGAGAGCTCCCCGAAGCAGTACATGCAGCTGGGCGGCCGCGTGCTGCTGGTCCTCATGTTCATGACCCTCCTCCACTTCGACGCCAGCTTCTTCTCCGTAAGTACCCGCCCCCCAGACGGCCGGCGCTGGCCTCCCACCGCCTCGTCCCCGGCTGTGTGCCCAGGGGAACCCCGCACTCCTGTGAGGGGGGCAGCACAGACCTCACGCTGCCAGACTGGGCCAGAGCCAGCTAGGTCTGCCAGGCACACCATTGCTGGGTCCAGCCTGTGCCCTGCTTGCTCTCAGCGGACACACTACGTCAAGTCCCTTCGGCCTTCCATTGTTGGGGCCCCAGAGTCTAGAGGGCCCAGCACAGGCCCTGAGCACTGGGCCAGCCGTCTTGGCAGGGGCAGAGGGCAGCTGTGTCCAGCTGGGCTGCTTGGGCAGGAAGGGCCGCTGCTTAGTGGACTCAGCATGTGACATCTTCTCCAAGCCCTCCTGTTTCAGAGCTGGGGTGCCATCCCTGCTGCCTGCTTCCCCACCCCAACTCCCACCCATCTCTCCACCCCCACATGCCTTCTCTCAAGCACAGGGGCCCTGGTGGTGCAGGGCTAAAGGCACGGTTACTAGCTGAAACGTTGGCGGGTTGAGCCCACCAAGGAGGGAGATGAGACCCTCTGCTCCTATCATGCTTCCGGCCTGGGGAGCCCCTGTGCCCACTGCCCTCCAGGTCGCCAGCTTGGCTCGCTTTCGGTTCCCACGTGCCCCATCGTGTGAGCCCGGCACAGCCACCACGGGGGCACCAGCACTTGGCGCTCGCCCTCGCCCTGAGCCCTCCCTGTGCCCACACAGATCCTGCAGAACATCGTGGGCACAGCCCTGATGGTCTTGGTGGCCATCGGCTTCAAGACCAAGCTGGCAGCACTGACGCTGGTGGTGTGGCTCTTCGCCATCAACGTGTACTTCAACGCCTTCTGGACCATTCCTGGGTACAAGCCCATGCACGACTTCCTCAAGTATGACTTCTTCCAGACCATGTCCGTCATCGGGGGCTTGCTGTTGGTGGTGGCTCTGGGCCCAGGAGGCGTGTCCATGGACGAGAAGAAGAAGGAGTGGTGACCGCCCATCCCAGCCGGGCTTGGGCCCCTTGGTGAGCGCCCAGGGCCGTCAGGGTGGACTCAAAACTGCCAGCATTTATGTATCCTCTCCCCTCCCCCCTCGGTGAAGGCACAGATGTTTCCAGAACTCGATTTGCAGACACCCAAAATTGACCTGCTTGGAGCCACTGCCTGGCCTGCCCTCAGAGCTGGCCAGGGCTCTGGTCACCCCTCTCTTAAGTCCTCTCTCTCTCTGGGGGTGGGGGGAGGCCCTCCAGCTGTACTGTGAGCAGATACATCTGTGTATCATTCAATGCGGTCTCCCTCTTATTCTTTTCCACGTTTACATTCTAAGCTAAAACTACTAAATGATTTGGGGGTTTGGGTGGCAATTCACATCGGTGGCTCTAAGGTGGTCTGTGCCCCTCGCTGTGGTATTTTACTACTTAGAGGAACCCAGAACCCAAAGAACAGTATTAACAGGGCGAGCAGAGCCACTTGGTGGCTTCTCCGGGCCCCCCCCCAGTCAGAAGGGCCTGCAGGAATGGACATGGGTCAGCCACCCCAGGATGCCTGGCCCTGGGCACCAGCTGCACTCAGGAAGGCGGGCTGGGACCCCCCAGGCCTCGAGCAGTAGGATCTCCTGTGGGCCCAGCCCACTAAGGGCCCAGCTGCAGGCAGCAGGGACAGCTGGCCCTGAGAGCCACAGGCTCTACCTCACATCTGGCCTTCCCGGATATGGCCGCAGAGCCCCTCCAGTGTCCCTGGCTGAGGGGCCCCCTGGACACTCACCAGGCCCCCCCCCTTTGATTCGTGATGCCTTACCACTTTGATCTCGATCCTGTATTTAAAGTTTTCTAATATTGCCTTACACCGAGTTTCTTCTTGCTGGTGTTTGACTCAGGTGGGGCTTCTGGGAGGAGGGGGGTCTGGGGGGGTTCCCCCAAGGCCCACTGAGCTCTTACCTGAGCAGGTCCACCACTGCTGTCAGCTGGTGCTGTCTCCAGGCCCTGACCTGAGCTAGGGAAGAGTGGGCCTCATCTCAGCACCCCCTGGGGTGGGGCAGGGCAGGCTCATGGCCCATGAGAGCTCAGTCCAGGTCCACCCACCAGGTGGGGGAGACAGGTGCTCTCCAGCCTCCCTCCCACCTTCCTGTGCTTGGCACCAAGATGAAGCTGTGGCCAGGGACGGGGCTCGCCAGGCCCCAGAGGGCTGGTTCTCCCACCGCGTCTCAGCTCTGCTTGGGCCCCCTCCCTTTCAACACAAGACAGCCACTCCATCAAGAATCCCAAGTTGGGCCATCTCAGGCCACTGCTGCTGGCAGGGAGCTGGGTCCCCTCTGTCCTGAGCTTCAAGACTTGGTTATGGAAGGACAGACCCCTGGAGGCCAAGGGGTGCACACCAAGCCCCATAACCAATGCCGAGCGCACACCACCCACCTACCAATTGGTTTTGGCAAAACAATTTCAGAAGTTTGTTTTTTTTTTTCTTTATGTGGATAATAGGTATAAATCTCATTTTATGCTGTATTTTATATCTTAGTTGTGTTTGAAAAGTTTTGATTTTTGGAAACACGTCAAAATAAACGACAGCATTTGTTGTATGCAGTGTGGTCCTCTGGTGTGCTGGGCCGTGAGCAGGGAGGACGCTCCCCGGAGGACGGCCGCTCCTCCCAGCCTCGGGCAGCAGGGTTGGGTTCTCCTCGCTGTGGTGCAGGTTCTCGCAGGCGTGGAGCAGCATCTTCCGGGCCCCAGCTCTGTGGCCCCCCGCCTGCAGCCCCAGTGGCCGCTGTCCTGTCCACCTGTTTGTGAGAGCGGAGGCTCCTGGGTCTGCAGTTCTAAGTTTTGAGTTTCTTTTTCCGGGAGCTCAGCTGCTTCTGCGGCACAAACACAAAGAGTTACCGTGGTCGCTTCGGCCTGAGGATGGAGCTTCAGGGTTCCATGCCGAGTGACCCCACAACTCCCCAGGTGCAGCTCTGAAAACTGCCTGCGGTCCTGCCTGTGCTGCCCCAGGGGACACTGACAGGCAGCGCCGAACGAGCGCCTCAAAGCTCTGAAGTGATGATGGCATCCAGCCTGGTCCGTGTGCCAGACCTCGGTTCCAGAAAGGGATGGTACCCGGTAACCACACCCCCTGCTTTGGGGGCCTAGTGTCCTCTGAGTGGCACAGTCAGCCACTAATGGGAAGGCCAGGCCCCCCAGAAGCACTCTGGGAGAAAGGGCTGGTGATCTCCCCAAAAATCAGCTCTGCTGACACACAGGGTGCTGAGCCAGTCCTGACATCATGGTGTCCCCTTCTGGTTACTTGTCTGTAGTGGCCTCTGGCTCACTGGCCTCCCCTGCCTCTGATAAGGCAGTGCCCAGTTCCAAGCCACGGCTTTTGGGGTGGCCACAGCCAGGAAGTGCCCGGGGGCCCCATCTACCTTGCTCTCATTTAAAGTCCTTAGCACGCCGTCTCTGAAGGAGAGATTTCCTTTTCTACAGAGACTGAGACCGCTGCCACAGCCACCCACCTTCCTGCGCTTGCGGCCTGGCATCCGGCTGGCGTCCGTGTCCTCCCCTCTGCTCCTGGGGCCCTCAGGCTGTGGCAGGTCTTCCTCCGTGTCCATCAGACAGTCCTCGGGGCCATCCCCATTTTCAGTCCCTCCCAAGTCCTTTCTGGCAAACAGCTCGGCTGTGGGGAGCAGAGATCGTGCCTTCTGAGGGGTGGCTGTGTGGCAGCAGTGAGGACAACACACACGGGGTGGGAGGGGGGACAGCGGTGGACAGCATAGAACTGACAGCCGAGCTGAGAACAGGGTGCCATGCCGAGGGTGCCTGCTTACGTGGGTACAGGTCTGTCATGCTGTCGTCACTCTGGGCACCGCCCTCGTCGCTGGACCCGGGCTCCCAGAAATCTCCTTTTCTGCCAGGCAGCCCATTGCTGTCCATCTGGTCTTCACGCCGCCGGCGCCTGTGCAGCAGGCAGGCAGGGACATACTCCACGCCCTGCTTCTGACACTCCTCATCTAGGGGTCAGGGACATGTTAGAACTCCGTGCCCCACAGCCAGTGGTGCATGGTACCATCCCAGCTCCCAGCCGGCATGAGACAGGAGATGAGAACGATGCAGGTGGACTGGGGCCCCCTCCCTGCTTCTGGTTCCGGTGGGGTGCTGGCACCTGGATGTGGAATGCAGCTCAGCCCTCACCGCACAGCCTGGAGCCCTCGGGCACAGTGACCAGGGCTTCCCTGGGGTGGGTGGCTGCTGGGAGCGGAACTGCCCTGTCCTTGCCAACCTTGCTCTCTGAGGAGCTGGGATAGGGCTCCCACAGAAAGCTCAATCCCATCACCCCGCAACAAGTTGATAAACCAAGGGGTCACACAATGGGACAGGAGTGGGTCCTGAGCGCAGAGAAGACCCTCTGCTCCTCCCCAGCACCCTCAATACACCCACCTTGCACGTGCTCTGGGACAGGAACTGCAGCGCCCCACCCCCGTCCCCTCTGCAGCCGTCCTGCTGAGTCTCCACAGCCACACGCTGCTTCAGACCCAACACAGACCCCCGTGCCCCCCACGCCCTTCCGTCCTCAACCTAAACTCCCTGGGTGTTGGCAGGCCCCAGAGTGAGCTTCTACCCTCTATGATTCTTCCCAAACAGCCCATACGGTGAGGACCACCGTCCACCCGTGTGCCATGCAGGAGTGGACACACGCCAACCACCAGAGGGCGGGTGGCCAAGACTGCTACCTCCCGAGGCGCACTGTCTTGGAAGGACCCTCCATGCTCACACAGGTACACCCTCTGGAAAAGCTGCACTGCCCTGTGAGGACGGGGTCTCCCCTCAAAGGCTGCACCCTGGAGCCCAGTGCACCCCACACTCACACTTGCGCAGCGCCGTCTGGAAGCGGTGGCCCTGCGTGTGCCTCCGCACGTGCTCAGGCTGCCTGTTGATGTGACGCAGGGTGAGCTTGCAGAACAGCTGGTGCCTGTGGACGGGAGACCGTTCTCGAGAGGGCAGCCCGGACCCTCCACTCGGTAACAGGGCCACTCACCCTGGCCTCTGCTGGTACTGTTGTTAAGTGCCATTGAGTCGCAGGCGACTCATAGCGACCTCATGAATCAAAGTCCTGGACACCTCCTATATAACTTCCGTCCTCTCCCCAGGTTCATAGGGTTTCCAGAGGTAAGCTATTATGGAAGTGGAAGCCCCTCCTGCTTCCAAGTTTGTTTTAATTGGGGGGGGCCTCCACCCAACACTGTCCACCATGGGTGACCATTATGCGTGTGACACATCAGTGTCACAGTGTTCGGCTTCACAGTGACCACGAGTTACCCCTGTACCTCTGCTGGTATTAGTTTCCAAAACATCCCAGTAAGTCCTCCTTGTGCTGTGCTGGTTGGACCCCCGGAGGCTGCAGGCGCAGCATGGAGACCCACCACCCCAATATGGAGCTAAATCAAAGATTCCCATTTGTGTTGATGTGAAGGTCACGTCAGTGGAGCCCTGGTTCATCTGGGGTTACAGCACCCAGCGTCCCTGACTCACGGATAGGTGGCTTCCTCTAGGGGTGCCTGACCCTCCTGGGGAGACGGGAGACCCACCCTCTTCGGTGTCCTCCCCGGAGGTAGCTGGCTCACAGCTCTGAGCGCAGCCCTGGGGGAGGTGGGCAGGTGTGCTCCAGGAGGGGATCCCCAGCCCCGACATACGGGTTCTTGGTGCTGGGCACAATGTGCGGCTCGAACTCGGAGTAGCTAAAGGCGGGGTCCGCGCGCACCAGCCGCTGGTACTTCTTCCCGCTGGTGTAGACCTGGAGCGCAGACAGGCGGCAGGGCAGCTCGTGTCCCGTCAGGGTGCACGTCACCTGGGGGGAGACGAACGCGCTGTCCGGGTCAGGCTCCCGGCCCCGTCCCCCGCGCCCCATCCCCGTCCCGCGGCCCCGGCCCCATCCCGTCCCCGTCCCATCCGCCGCGGCCCCGTCCCCGTTCCCCGTCCCGCTGGCCCGCTCTGGCCGCCGTGCGGACCTTGGCGCCGCCGGGTTGGAGCCGCAGCGCGGGGTGCCGGCTCAGCAGGGCGCGCACGTCGGCCGGCAGCGCATCCATTCTCCCGCCAGCGCCGCGCACACGTGGGCGGACCGGCTCGGAAACGCCCCGGAAGTACATGAGCCCGCGTCCCGGAAGTGTTCGTAGGCTTCCGGCGCGATGGCGTCTGGGTGGATGTCCCGGGTGGGCTGGAGGCTGCTGCCGCGCACGGGGGGCGTGGGGCCGGTGAGCGGGGCGCACGGGCCGGGGTGCACGGGCCGGGGTGCACGGGCTGGGGTGCACGGCCCGCAGAGCAGCCCTGCACGGAGCGCGCCCCCAGCCTGCCTCTGTCTCCGCAGGTCTCGGGCAGTGCCATGGGGAGAAGCGTCCTCTGGGCCCCCCTGCGCCCAGGTGAGGAGTGTGCCCGGCCCTGTGTGTTCAAGGGCCACCTGGATCAAGTGAGCCCTCAGGGTGCACCCAGGGCGTGTGAGGAGAGACTCGTCCAGAAGTGTGGTAGACCCGGCCTTGATGATGTGCTGGTCTGTTGTCGAGGGCCTTGCTCAGTTCCGATTTTTTAGAGACTCCAGTGGGACAGAGTGGAACCGCCCCGGGGACTGCCGGTGGGTTAGTGGGTGCAGACCGCAGACTTGGGGTTGCAGCCTGTGGCACTGGCGCGGGTGCGTTGGTGCCGTGACATGAAGGCTCAGAGTAAGGCCTTAACCACCATCCGTGCCACCCTCAGTGTCCAGCAGGGACCTGTGTGCAAGGCCAGCCCTTTGCACGTCTGTCAGCTCCCCGAGGACAGCGCGGTCGTGTGCGATGGAGCAGCTGTGAGCCGCACCATTTTGGTTTTAGGGGGGCCTCCAGGCCTCTCCCTGAAATGTGATTACGGGAGAGTGCATGCTCGTGTTCAGTGTTCCTCGCACTGGTGGGCACCCAGTGCCCCTGAAGTCGCCCAGCACATTCTTGAGTGTAAAAGTGCAAGCGGGCTGTTAAGTATTCGGGTCCTGGTCTCTGGCAGAGCACCTTGTCTCGTGCTTTCAGATCAGCTCTAGCCCTCGGTGACCCCACATCCCAGATCCAGGTCCACCTCGGTCCTCCCTGTCCTCACAGCACTGCTGCAGCTGTCTCAGTTCATTGGCAGGCGTGATGTTTGTCTCTGAAGGGCTGGTCTGCCCTCACAGCATGCCCAGCGTCCCCTTTCCTTGGCCATCTGACCTTGTTGAATCTGCGTGTCCTTCTGGGGGCTGGGTACTTGGCTGGGTCCACATGCGGCCTCACCCGTTCCCTCCTGTCCTGGCTGAGGAGGTTGGAGGTCAAGGACAGCCTGCCCTACCCTGCTGCTTCCGCCCTTTAGGCTCAGGCCACTGTTGCAAAGCCAGCACTGCCTGCGCCTCATCTGCCTCCCTGGGGGTGGCCAGGAGGGGTGGGGGTGGGGTTGCTGGCCCAAAGGTGAAGCCACCAGCCGCTGTGCTCCATGGACAGACAGTCTGCCCCTGAAACAGACACAGCCTTGATGGACAGTGGGCCCTGCGGGTCTGAGCGAGACCTCACTTGGTGACGTGGGTGTGGGTTTGTTTAGGGGGCTGGAGGCCGAGCAAGTGTGGCAGTTCCGCAGCGGAGGCACCCATCAGAAAAGAGGACGATGCCGTCCTTCAGTGGCTCCTGCTTCTCATCCCTGTGACTGCTTTCGGCCTAGGGACGTGGCAGGTAAAGGCCGGCATCCCCCACTGCCTGGGCCCTTCTTCCTCAGCCATCTGCTCGGGGCACTGCTCACCTGTGCCCACAGGTCCAGCGCCGGAAGTGGAAGCTGAAGCTGATTGCAGAGTTAGAGTCTCGAGTTAGAGCTGAGCCCATCCCTCTGCCTGCAGAGTGAGTGTGACCCTCTGCCCGGGGCTGGGGAGGGGGCCCTGGCTTTGTTTCACCTGCTGGCCCCGCTGTGGTCCTGGCCCTCAGATAGATGAGGGGCTGCCCAACAGACACAAACTCTCCGCCTGGGGCCCTGCCTTTCACCCTCAGGGCAGGGTCCCAAGGCCCCTCTATCCACAGCTGTGTAGAGAGGTGGTGGCTGCAGGTGCGGGTGCATTGGGGTCCTGGCAGGAGGGTGGTGCTGGCCTCCGGCAGCTCTGCCCCAGCGGGTGTCATGAAGGGGAGCAGGCCAGCGCCTACCTGGCTCACAAGTCAGCTTCCCTATGGAATCCTGTTTTGCTTAAACCTGTGGCTGCTGCTAGACTGGTGGCAACAGGTCTGTCCTGCTGCCTCAGCCCCTGACCCAGCCCACCCTCACCCCCTAGCCCCATAGAGCTCAACAGCCTCGAGTACAGGCCAGTGAAGGTCAGGGGCCACTTTGACCACTCCAAGGAGCTGTATATGATGCCCCGGACCATGGTGGACCCGGCCAGGGAGGCCCGTGAGGCCGGGCGCATCTCCTCCTCAGCTGAGAGCGGTGCCTACGTCATCACCCCCTTCCACTGCTCTGCCCTGGGGTGAGTACCGCAGGGTATGCCTCCCTTTTGTGAGACACTAAAGATACCCGGAAGGGTTATTTCTAGCATTTGAGATAACAGGGTTCCAACCTGGGTTAAAAGAACAATCCCACTGCTGACCAGCTTTAAAGCCTGGCTGCTGGCCCTGTTTCCAAGGCGGTCAACTTTCAGGGAGCTGGCCTGGTTTCCTCCCATAGGGACAGAGAGGTTTTATTTAGCAGCTCACAACCTTCGTTCTTGGCAAGTTTGTTCCCCAGCAACTTGTGATGGTCAGGGAAAGCTTCTAGTGGGCGTCTGACGCTGGGCGTTTAACCTCCCGAAAAGCACGTGCTGCTGGGTCCTGGATGCCTGTGGTAACTTCAGAAAAGTGCAGCCTCAGAAAACCCACATTTTAAGTAGCAAAATGTATGTATATGGCCCTGGAGTTATGCAGAGGCAAGAGTTTTACAACCTTACGTAGCTTCAGTGCTGGTGGCAGTTTAAGTAGCAACTGCCCAGCAGGGAAAGCTTGCGCCAAGAGGCCACCAGCCTCCCCTCAGGACAGTGGACAGGCTGGTTAATTGCTGTGGGGCTGTCTGCACCACCAGTCACAAGGGGGGGGAAAGATTCCAGAACTCTTGGTGTATGATCTCCAAAACCTGAGCGGCTGTGCTCCTGGCACCGTGTCTGGCCCCTAGGCAGCTTCCTCCTCACACAGGAGAGGTGCTGGCACTGAGTACTACTGTTTCCATTGCAGAGTCACCATCTTGGTGAACAGAGGATTTGTCCCCAAGAGGAGAGTGAAGCCAGAGACCAGGCAGAAAGGCCAAGTAAGGGCACCTACCACTCCCACCTCATGCCCAGTCCCGCCCTGAGACAAGCCCTTTTCCTGGAACCTCTCGCCTCCTCCTCAGATCCAGGAGGAAGTGGACCTGGTTGGGATGGTGAGGCTCACTGAGACCAGGAAACCGTTCGTCCCAGAGAACAACCCTGAGAGGAACCACTGGCATTACAGGGACCTGGAGGCCATGGCCAAGGTCACAGGCGCAGAGCCCATCTTCCTCGATGCAGATTTCAGTACGTGATGACTATCTGTGCACCCAGAAGTACAGCTCTTGTGAACACCATGTGTCCCCGTACCTAGTCTGACCACTGTCCCTACAGAGAGCACTGTCCCCGGAGGGCCCATCGGAGGGCAGACGCGTGTCACACTGAGGAATGAGCACCTGCAGTACATCGTCACCTGGTGAGCACCTGGCAAGGCCCACCTGCTCCCCCTCCTGTCACCCCAGGGTGACAACTCTTTATCCCACCCACTCAGGTATGGCCTCTGTGCAGCCACATCCTACCTCTGGTTTAAGAAGTTTGGTCGCTGGACCCCTGGCATGAGGTAGCGGGATGCACCTCCGATGGATTTCCAAGAGTTGATATGGCTTTTTTAAAAAAAAAAATAAAATAAAATTCCAGTGCTGACCTACTGTGTGCTGGCTCCTGTTTTAAGAGCTTTCCCAGTTTGATAGACACCACTCTTGTCCTTGCTGGCTGCCTGTACACCAACACAGCTCACAACACACATGCCTTCGACCCACAGGCCAATAACAGACAGTGGAACGGTTTATTCTTAATAAGTTTATTCTTATGTACAGAAGAGTCAGTGTGTACATCAGCCCAGTTTGGTGGCGAGTTCCTTGGCCTTGGCCTTCTCCAGCTTGGCGATGCGGGCCACTGACTTGGGCCCCAGGACGTTGCCTCCCCAGTGGCGGCGGATCT